TGAGCTTCACGGGATTCCACAATTGCCCAACAGTAGATTGAATGTGCCTTGTCAATTACAGTTAAGGGCCCGTTTGGGTTGTTTTCAGATATTATCTGACCTGAAAACCAAATTTTGATTTGCCCCTATCTTGAGGGGCACGTCGGGATTGTTGTCTTTCAGATATTGAGATTACCAAACAGCAAACCAAAAGAGGTCAACAGACGTCTGTTGACCTTGAGAGGATCATATTGCTGTTTGGTATCAACCACATGAGATTGTATCTATATACTCTTTTTATTTGGATCAAACTTTTAAAACGGACATTGTTGACCTTGGTTGTTCTTGCCCTACTAATCATTCTGTTTGATATATGCCAACAAAGCACAAGCACCATTAATAGGAGGTAAAAATCCTTGTAAAGAACTGATTTGTTCAAGAGCAAGGTCTTGAGTCTGATATCCTATTAATTTAGTGGAACCATTCTTCTTCCGAACTCAATCTTATTCTTTTGATAATTCAATCAATCATCATGATTCTTTCATCTGCTTTGTCCAACACATTTTGAATCAACTTTTTAATAATTTCATCATCTAAATTTAAAAAAATAGTAAGAACTGTTAGGGTGTGAAGATGGCTGAGCAAAGGAGTGAGGATTATAGAACATAAGGGGGTGTGTGGGTAATGAGAAGTTGAGCAGGAGATGAACGAAGAAGGTGGATGAGGAGGGGCACATCGAGAGAGAGCCTTCAGATACAACCAAAAGGCTGTATCTCGATCTTGTTGATCAGATACTCAAGTCATATATTCAAACCAAACACCAATCACATTTTGAATATCTGGTCGAGTTTGGACCAAGATACAATGTGGCCGTATGTAACTTTTTTGGTGTGAAAGTTGGCCACATTGTATCTGCTTGCGGTGTCCGAACGGGCCCCAAGATAACGGTTAAGAGAATTTTACACTTGAGGATTTACACTCGATATTGAGTGTAAAATAACATGTGTGTAAAATTCAACAATCAGGGGGCCAAATTATAATTTTACACTCAATCAAAACGGAAATTTAAACTCACCAAACCGGCCGTGGATATCCCCATCTGCACCGCCTCACCACCAACATATTTACCTTGGATTACAAAATCCGAGGTATCCTTGGATGCAAAACCTCGGACAGAAGCTTCCCGAGGTTTTGATCCGAGGTAATTCTCAGGGCAAAAAAATACCTCGGGCAAAAACGTCGGACAAGGTCTGTCTGAGGATTTTCCTCCAATGATGCCTCAGATTTCTCAACCCGAGGCATCTATGCTGGCAGTGCCTCATAACCTCACCAATTGGCTTCGGATCTCAGGATGAGGATGTCTCAGCACCATATCCCCCTGCCAATACCCCCTATGTGCCCTAATCTTACACTAATCTTACTTGACTTCCCTTTGTAGGACAACCTTCCCTTGCAGATGGTCTATGAACGCCCTAACTTTCCTCGATTTTGACCAACACCACCACCATTTCAATGACAGCCTTATGTTTCCCTCTTGTCCTCCATTCCTCGCTAGCTCCAAGGACTCCTCCGGTGCTTACCTCACCCTGGAATCACTCTCCAGGAACTCCAACTGGACACTTCGCAGCCACGTATCCAACTTACCAAATATCGATATTGATGAACAAGATTATCCCTGCTGCTGACCTACTGGACCTAAGAAAGATGACACAAATCCTGCGTCCACGGCCACTTCCTATCCATGGACCTCACCAACCTCCTTCTTCTGCCTCTTTTCCTCAATCCACAGAAGTCGCTCAAGAATCCCTGTTCCCAATTGTTCTGCTTCCCATCCTTCCGTTTCAATTGATATACCTTTATCAACCATACCATTTCTATCACTTTTACATCTTATGTCAACCTAATCCCCAGCCCATTTTAATTCAAAACTTTCATCGCTCATACCTATTCTACCAAATCATTGTGTTGCTTATCTGTTTTGCTATGTCTTCTGGATCGGATTCTGACAACCAATTAGACCTTGTGGTTTCTCTGTTCCCGACCCAGACCAAAACTCAACCCACTCAAGTTGTCTTTTCTGCAGCCCAAGATATTACCGTAGCCGCCGAAGAGATCACTGTACCCCAAGAGATCACTAGTCGTATTCCGCCAGTGTGGACCCCGGCAAGCTCAACTGATGCTGGGAAACTGCAGCTTTGGAATCTCTATTTCCTACGTTTTTGCCAATGTGGTTTGAAGGTTCCAAGGGTAAGAGCAAGGACCTTGATTCAAAGCTCATCTGACACTACTCAGCAAGGGTCTCAGCGGAACTCCACTGCAGTTCTCACATTAAATCAGTCCTTTCTCGAGGCCCAAAGTCACTCCAGACCGCTGTCCAAAAGATATCGTCTAGCTCCTTTGTCACGGATATGTTTTGTTTGGCCAACGGTTTCATTGAGCATCTACTCTACGCTTGACGCAACATTCCCTTGTCAATTGGGATAACTTTCTCTTACACGCTTTTCCGCAAACACCAATGCACTCAGTTTGTTGGTCATCAGGAATGCAACAAATCTTCTCGAACGATGTAGAACTTAAAGCTCAACAAGAGCTTTACAGAGCTTAAAGAGGGATAATCTACTAATAAAGTATCTAGTAGAAGTTGCCTAAGACTGCCTCTTTGAAAGAATCAACATGGGGTTTTGCTGAATTCTTTGGGATAAGGCACCAGAGAAAGTTGTCTCAATACTTAATTCAAGTATTAGTCCCGTGATTTTTAATTATAAAGAAATCTCAACACTATTGTAGTGTTATTCCAATTTGAACACAATAAAACACAATTTTAATTACTAGCAAAGCAACAATCAGTTTGATTGTTATTCCAATGAAGACTTGTAGTCTTATCACACGTAAAGAAATCTCTTCTTTGATGTAAAGGGGCAATTTAGTGAACTTAGTACTGGTAAAGTAATTTAATGATGATTAAAAACACTCTAACAAAAGTATAAGATGAGTAAAAAGAGGAACAAAGGCCCGTAAAATCCTTAACAATAGTATATAACCCTCCAACAACCTTCAACAATGGTCAACAACCTCCAAAAACCCTCAAAAACCGTCAAAATCAACAGAATATCCTCCAATGTAATCATATGATGTCATAAATATTATTGTTTGTAATGATTCAAGGCGTGAATTTGATCAATTGATGTAAATAAATGATGAACAGATCTTCTTATGATGAATACCAGGTGATTTTTTCCTAAT